CCATACCTTCACATATAGCTTCACATAAAACTTTACATATAGCTTCATATAGGACTTTACATATAGCCTCATATGTGTATAATAATACAACAATATAATAACATTTATATAATGCCCTTCATGACCTCAATTCACAATAATACAACAAATAACCACCTCCACCAAAGGTGGATCAAACCAACCAATAACAATTATATTAATACTAAGAGATCAAACCATCTTACCACCCTTTTCAAAGGCCATAAGCCACAATACTCAATTCCATGCCAATTATACAATATTTATCAAGTTTGATCAACTTACCCTCTTTCCATGACTATCTTCATCATCCTCATATTCCAACAATTAACAATACAATAACAATGATAATAACAACATTCAACTATACAAGCTAAGCTAAGCATAAGCCAATAATCAACATGAAGACCAATTCACAATTTTGCCCATTCAAGGCTAACATCCCACATCCTTCAATTCACTAACAATTCTTAACAATTCCACATAGATAAATACATATATGAACAGTCCGCAACAATCTACACAATAATCGTCCATCAATTACACAAAATCAATACACCCACTTTAGGCCAAATTTAGAGAATTTGAGAAGACATGGGTTCATGGGGATTTCTTTCTAAAAACCATTAATAATCATTAATAACCATATAAATCATCATTTAAAACCTTTTTATGCAAGAACCCATCCTAGAATCGAAATAGGTTTTTGTGTGTATTTGAAAAACCTTGAAAACCTTTTGATTGGGTTCCTTGAAAGAAAGAATAATCAAGGATAAGGATCCCCATACCTCTAAGTTGAAAACCCACGAAAATTGAAGAAGAAGCACTCGAAATCTTCAATCCTAGCTCCAACTCCTCTTCTTCCTTGAGTTAGAGAGAAATATATGAAAGGAGATGAGTTTCTTTTTTTAATTTAAGAGGAGTGACTTAAATGAAAGGAATTAAGTCATAAAAAGGTCTTATAGTTGCTAGGAAAAGAATAAAATAACATAGGGTCAATTTTGGAAAAGGACTAAGGACCCATAAAGTCTTAACTTAAAAATTCTGTCCCTTCCCGTCTTATTCGCCCTTTTTTTTCCAGCCTGACAGTGCTTCAATATTTCGGGCATAACTTTTTACTCCAAGGTCGGAATTGGGCAAACTCGGTGGCGTTGGAAAGAGGACTCAAAGACCTTTAATTGGATAGGTAAAGGTCCACCTAATTCATTTTGAGCTAAAGGATATGACCATTTAAAGTTGACCCTTATAACTCACTAGTTCAAATGACTAGTTTCCGGACGTCACGGTCATTTCTCATCATTTCATCAAGTTCTCAACTCCAAACTCACATGTGAGGCTCTAGTTTCACTAGTTCGTTTTTAGGGTCGTTACATTATCCCCTCAAGTACATCAAAGTCATCATATCCCGACGAGACATCCTCAAAACTACAGTCAATCACAAAAGATACCTGCAGACTATTGGCTGAGTGACATCTTTGTGATTCTATATGCCGTTTTTGAAATCGAATTATTACCTTCGCTGTAAAGTGTTTCCAATTTGCCAATTGGTTGTTCCAGAAAAACCATCGATACTATTCCAAAGCTTCCCCATCGAGATACAATGAGGCGAGACATAACTTATACTTTTCTGCAATTTCATAGAATTCAAAGTAGTGTTCAGCCTGGGAAATCCATGCCTTTGGATTATCACTATTGAATAGTCCAAATTTTATTGAAGCATACTTATGACGAAACATCGATAATGCCGGAGCTAGATCTCTTTTCTCATTCATCGAAACATTGTTTTGGCACCTATCAGTTGCAACTTTTCCGACCAACTTCTGTAACATTGAACGAATTTCAGCGAGATTCTTCGACCACGAATCTTCAGTTGTTCGAGATAGTTAGTCCTCTATTGAAGACCTCTGGATGAAAGCACCAATGAAACAAACCCGATTTCCTATACAAACATTGATATATATTGTTATCGCTAAATACAAGTTACTACAAGCATATATGCACTAAAAAATAATAGTACGTTAACTAAGGAGAGATTAGCATAGAAGAAGGTAACTTGAAAGGGATGAGATACTAGAACAGAGAAAGGGGATGAAAGATAATTGAAGGCCAAAGCTTCGACATAATTTGCCTAACCGTTCTTTCTAATCTCTAGACCTTTTTAACAATAGCTAATTGGGCCTGGATCCCATATAAAACTCTCCAACATTTTACTCGACCGAATAATATCAACTGAATCAGTCTCATCTACCACGTCTAGCCCATATAGCCTTATAGAGTTATCTTGGTTCACAACACAGACAACACAATTGGTGCATATAACAGGAGGAGAATCTTTTCATTAATATATATGTTGCGCAGACTCTTTAAAATTCGTGTTATATCTGTATCAACATAATATATAAGTGTAGATACGAGATTTATATCAAATATGATCAACTTATTTTAGGTACTTGATTTTTGTAAAGATTTTTTTTTTTAATTCAGTAACTATAGCTAACCAAAATATGTACTCCGTACTTTAATTATATGTCGCAATATACATTTATTAACAGTGTATTTTAACACCTCACAATCGCTCTCGTATGTGCAATGTATATACTTCAATATTAAGTATTTTGTAAATATTTTTATACGTAATAAATATCTTCCAACTAATTTTTATTTAGGCCACATGAACATTGGCATTAATTTCACAATTGTGCTGGCAATTTTGAAGGCTAGTACACGTGTGGATAATTAATGTCACATTGGAAAAACTTAACCAAAGTCAAGTCAAGATTAATACCTTTTGTGCTCTTCGTTAACAAATTTATATTTCTTGCGATGATATATGTAGAGAAGAATAAGATATTTATCGAAATCTGATAAAGGAAAATAAATTGAATATCGAATCAACTTGATTTCTTTTGTTGATATTTTTAACGTTTATGACAATCTGTTAGAATTATCAAACTTTAATGATCAATTTATTGTGATAGTTAGAATTTGTAACAAAACAACTTGACAAAACCTTAATTGTTGTTTAACTAGATATGTAAACACTTATATTATGGCTAATATACACACTAAAGATTTGATTTGAACATAGAAGCAAATACCACCTGGAAGGTCCCAAATTAATGGAACACTACTTAGATTGAAAATCTAACAACTTAAAGAAAACAACAAGGTTTATTTTATGTAGATTTTTCTCTCGTGCTACTTTAATTAATTTGTCCAATAAATATATAAAAAAATATTATCCATTATGGCAAAGTCCACCAATTAAATTTCACAACTCTAGTACATATATATGTTTTTATAATGGTACCATTTTATATTATGTTGATGTGAGCATTTTGCCTTCTTTTCTTTTTTTACTATATTCAACCATTTATTATTTTATACTACCTACCAAAACAAATTATACTATTGTTCAATTAATAATTAAAAAAAATACATTATTATTAATAACGTCAATGATTACATATCCATAATTGAATAGGCTAAAGACAAAGTCGTTAACTCAACCGTACACAGTTGGCATTAGAAAACAATTAAGAGTAATTATTCATAAAAGAATAAGTGAAATTAGTTAATACTTAAATAAGGCAGGCTACTTATTATAATAGATTAAACACACAAATACTGTAAATATTTTTATATTATCAGTAAATATAGGTTAAAATTTTTAAACTTACATACAAAATTATGTGAACTTTTAATTTGTTGTAGATTTTAGGTCATCTTAACGATATCAGTAGATAACTATCTCTGTAAAAATGAGTTTATAATGAAAATAATATAAATTATTCGTTAGCATGCCAGACATGATTTGCGATATTAAGTTTCTTTAAACTATTAGCATATATATATAAGATGAAGTTTAATTATTAAATAAAAAGAAACATAAATATTTTGATTGAGTAGTGAAAAAAAAATGTTCAATGCATATTCTCAGTATTTCTTTGAGAATCTATTTCCGAATTTTTCATTGAGCTAGTTTGTTTGAAATAGGTAGAAGAAATATTTTTTATAGCATAAATTTCTCATTTATTCACGTGAAAACGCCTATATTTTTAATAGTATGTATTGATGCTTTTACCAAATCATGTTAATCTATGATTAAATGAATTAATAAAATAAGTAACATATGAAAACTATAAACGGGTGATATATATATATTAAATACATTTTACACATCTATTAATTTAGCATAAACTCGATCATGGCGCGACTAACATAAATCTTCACGAAATAATACTAATATATACTTTATTCTCAATAAATCCATTCATGAAATTTCACGATATATTATTACGATAAATTAATACGATTCAATGCAGATAAGTTTTTACCGAGCGTGAATACGGTGGGGTCAAGAGATAGCGACGTGCTTCCCACAATGCCACCTACCCACGCGCATGCGACCCCACAATTTTGGACTCAATGGAAAGAGACTTCAAGAAACCCTAATTTTTATATACAAATATATATACATTTATTTTTTATTTTTTTTGAAAAAAACACCACTACTTGATGAGAAACTTCTATAAAGAAAAAAATCCATCAACTATCTAAAATCATTTCTTACTTACTCCCTTCTCATAATTCTCTCCTTTAGACTTTTTGTAATGGTATTTTTTTTCTTCTAAAACCAAAAAAAATAAATAAAGATATATAATATACTATGTAATATAAACTTTGTTAGTATTAGTTTTTTCAATCTCTATGTGTGCTTTATTCTCTCTTTTTTTTTGTTCTCCCTTTGGGTTTGATTCTGTCCAGAGTTTCTGTTTTTCTTTAATTTGCATTTGTTCCTTAATTTAGATCTTCACTTTTGTTCTTTTTTTTAAAAAATAAAAAATAAAAATAAATTTTGCTAATTCTAGCTTTCCATATATAACCCTAATTTTATCAGTAGAGATTCTTGAAGATAGGTTCAACTCATTTAGGTTAAAAAATAAGCAATATTTTTGAGTTTGAGGTAATATTTTGCAATTATGGCAAATTGGTGGGGTGGTCAGGTGGGCATATCCGGGCTTGAGTCAGGATCTTGCCCACCTATGCTTCTAACGAAGCAGGTTTCGAGTGGGAGTAGTGGTGAAAATCAAGAAGATAATGATAGAGAAAATGGTGATCATGAGCCTAAAGAAGGTGCGGTTGAGGTTGGTAATAGAAGACCTAGAGGTCGTCCACCAGGATCCAAGAACAAGCCCAAACCACCAATTTTTGTGACCCGGGATAGCCCTAATGCCCTCCGGAGCCACGTCATGGAGGTGGCAGGAGGGACAGATGTCGCAGATTGTATTGCACAATTTGCGAGGAGGCGCCAACGTGGCGTTTGTGTACTTAGTGGGAATGGCTCGGTTGCAAATGTAACCCTAAGACAACCAGCATCTCCAGGTGCTATTGTTCTACAAGGAAGATTCGAGATTTTATCGTTGACCGGAGCATTTTTACCCGGTCCAGCCCCTCCTGGCTCGACCGGGTTAACTGTCTATTTGGCCGGTGGCCAAGGACAAGTGGTTGGTGGTAGTATTGTTGGGCCGTTAATTGCTGCGGGCCCAGTAATGATTATAGCTGCCACTTTTTCTAATGCAACCTATGAAAGGTTGCCACTAGTAGAAGAAGAGGAAGAGGTTGGAGGCGATCGCCCCAGCCAATCACAAGTACCGGCTGAAAATTCGCCTCCAACCTTAGGTTCAAGTGATGGAAGGCCACAACAACAACATCAACAACAACATGAATTGCCTGATCCATCATCATTACCTATTTATAATTTTACACCAAATTTATTACCAAATGGTGGACAATTGAATCATGATGCATATGCTTGGGCAAATCCTAGACCACCTTATTGAGATTTTTCAAAAAAAAAAGAAGGTGAAATTTGATGAATAAAAGAAGGGTATATTAGGAACAAGAGATCATATGTACTAAGGTAATTAAGTTTCTATCAATGTTTGATTTTATACATAGAGTTTATAATGTTTGTGTTTTGTAGGAAAATGTTTTTTGGAAGAAGTATATATAGTTATAGGATGGAGAAAAACTATATTACTTTTTCCAAGTATATAAACATTTTCTCTTGTAACTTCCATTATGGTTGAAATAAAATATGGTTTATTTCCTTTTTCTCCAATAATTTACTCTATCTTTTAGTTAGTGTTAAAAAAGAACAAGTGCTTGTTTAATTACCATTGAAGATTTATAGGAGTATGTGTCTTCTTTTTCTTGTTTGTGCTTCAAATTTTGTGACTAGAAACAATGAATGTTCATGTTTGTGTTTTTTAATATTAAATATTCAATATTCCCTTCTTGCACTTTAATTTCTTTTATCTTTATCATTATAGTTGTCCAAGCACTAAAGAAAGACCAATCCATGTGCCTCTATACTTATAATTAATGGGTTTTTATTAGTTTGTTTAATTAATTAGTTGATGTTGTGGATAAGTACTAAACTTTCCTTATTTTCATTCTAATTTAGTGAAAATTATAAACTAGAACTAAAGAAATCCATGGTGGTATGTGAACAAAATCTAGGAGTGTTGAGTTCAACTAATAATTTAATCCTTTTTTATTGTTACTATTAATATGCACTTGATCAAAATTGCTACATCATAACAATTAATTTATATTATATTATACCTATGGATAAGACTCAAATATTATCTTGGAAATGCTCCTGCTATGCATGCAGGTTTTTTAAAAAAAAATTATAATAAATGTTTAGTAGTTTATTGGTTACTGTTTGGAGGGGAGTGTTTTAAAACAGAAAATAAGCAAAGATTGCTTCCTTACTCAAAATAAAAAATTAGTGACGGCTCAGAATTTGAATTTTAAGATTCTTGTAAAAATCTTAAGATGTTATACAATAATAAATCAAATATTTATACTCTATTCGTGCAATTTATGTCATATATATATATACCTTTTGATTTTGCGAATCAATGATTTTTTCCTTAAACACAATCTTTTCATATGCGTTTTAAATAGTTTCAATTATTAATTATTATAACTTAACCTTTTATATAGTTTTTTAGATATGTAAATTTCATTTCAAAATACTTACAAATTTTATATCCAATTTCACAGTCAAAATTATATTTTGCAAAATTGACTTTTAAAATTTAAATTGTATGGCATAAAAATATATAACAAGAATAATATTTAATGTAAAGCTTCTTATGGAAGAGACACATTTCCTGGCTGCTTCTGTATACATGTTTTTTGGGTAAATTCATGCACTTACATTCAATGATATGATATAGCTAATCAAAAATAGTTCAATTATTACTTATGTGTTATATATATATATATATATATTCATTATATTCCTTTCCCAACAAATTAAATAATACTAAATGACAGAGTTGACAATTTGTTCTTTGAATCCCACTTGCAAGGAACCCTATAACTGGAATCACTGACTGACTGTCCACTTAATTAATAAAAAGGAGTCAAATGCAATGCTGATGACAAATTGTTATAACCAGACTAGATTTACATGTGTTTTTATGTATTGTGTGTATTCACTGGGCTGACGTTTAGACATAAAAAATATGAAATGTGTATTAAAAATGATATTTAAAAACTAGAGTCGTATTTAGACATGAATAGAAATATGGAATTATTTTTTTGAACTTTTTTGGTGATAGAGAGTGAATTATGAAAATAGATTTTTGGAGTTTTTCGAATTTCGGAAAATTCCAATTGAATTATGAAAATAAATTTATATTAAAAATGATATTTAAAAATTAGAGTTGTATTTAGACACGAATAGAAATATGGAATTATTTTTTGAACTTTTTTGGTGATAGAGAGTGAATTATGAAAATAGATTTTTGGAGTTTTTCGAATTTCGGAAAATTCCAATTGAATTATGAAAATAAATTTGTATTAAAAATGATATTTAAAAATTAGAGTCGTATTTAGACATGAATAGAAATATGGAATTATTTTTTGAACTTTTTTGGTGATAGAGAGTGAATTATGAAATAGAGCTTAGAGAAGTTTTCAGAATAAAAAAAATAAAAATAAATAATGTAATAATTTTTTCCGTTTTAATGATATGTCAAATCAATATAATTATATGACAAACACTGCAAAAACATCATAAAGAGAACGTGAAAAATATTCCTCTTTGTAAAACAAATTTTTTTCTTCCACTTTATAAAGTGTAAGAAAAACTTCCACTTTACAAAGTGTAAGAAATAGTTTCGTTATATATTAAAATATACACGTTATGAGACTAACGAAAAACGTTTGGAATATTGCATAAAGCATAATTTTTTCTTCCACTAAATCTATTTTAGTTACTTACTAGAATAGTGGCTTATTTTGGTCACTTTTATCTTTTTGTGGCTTATTTAGGTTTCGAACTTGATATATAATAAGCAACCTACTGTTTGCTTTCTGGGGTATTGTTGATCAAGCCAAACCCTAAAATATTATACCACTTGATGATTTGAAAAAAAAAAAAAACTAAATGGTTCCATGGTAACTAAGATAATTGTCATTTTATTAGGTTATCGATTATAATATTTATTATAATAATATACTCGTAATTAATTTTCAAGTGACTGAATTGTATGTAAATATATGTTATTCTTTAATGCAGAACAAAAAAATATCCTAATTACTTTCTCTAGCTAAAAAGAAAAAAAAAACTTTTTTAAGGAATTGTTTTTAAAAAATAATTATACCGGGGTAAGAAAGGAAATATAGAAGAAAAAAAGTTACAAGAGGGAGGATTAAACCGTTATTAATAATAATTTAAATGTGTAAATTGGACGCAAAAAGAGAAAAAAAATGTAAGTATAGGAATATGTAAATACAAATTGTCATAAAAATGAGTTTGCGTATCGTGTGCACATGTGGTAATAATTATTGCACACGATGAGTTGTAAAAGGGTTCCTACCAAAAAAGTTGTAATATTTAATTTGCTTCAACTGTTAATCTTTAGGTGCCATCTTGTCCCATCCATGCTCATGCCCAATATTGTCCGTTTTATCATGAACGGATGTGGTTCAGTGGATGAATTTATTCGTCTCTTAATTTGAAATTTCAACTTCAAATACGGTCTATGAAAAATCATTGATAAAAAATATTTTTCTCAAATAAAATTTACGTGGTGTAAATTAAATAAAAATTATTCATTTTAGTTCAGATGTAATTTGTCTTTCTTTGCTTATGCTATTATCTAGCATATGTAGACTAGTGTGCATCAAATAAAAACTTGAGTTGTGTCTTCTAAAATTTTCATTTCGATGTGAAATTTCTTAAATTGTTGTATTCATCCCTTCTTTTAGAAAGTTGGGAGTTTGAAATTTTATTGTCTTTCTCTTTGATCCATTCTCATTTGTCACCCACTATTATAAGCACCGCACCACATACACCCTTCATAGAAACTCATCGTCCTCAATAAGGTTTATCCCATCACCAAATTAAGTGAACGTTAGGCTTTGATATCATATTTGTGATTATCTTAATCCATGACATGCATTGTCCACTTTGGTCCAATATATTGACTCCATAAATTTGTTCTTGGAGTATGCAATTATCGATGTAAACTTGTATATTGTGCCCAGTAAAATCCATCATCTTTTTTTTTCTCTATTTTAATATGAGTTTACCTAAAATGACATATATACTTCTTCAGAAGATTACTAATCTAAAAATCTACAAAATCTTCTCTTTGACCCATCCTTATCAGCCCGCCTCCCGTCACGGAAGTCACACAAGGCTATTAGACCTAAACCTCAATCTTTTACTAGATGCTTTCACATAATAAACCAAAGTCATATTTCTATTTCACCATTAACTAGATATTTGGTTATAGTTTTGTGTTCCAAACTTCATACTCAATAAAATCATATGCCTAAATTAAACATATATGGTCAATAAATACTTATGAACATATCCATAATCATTCAAAAAAGAGTGCTACTAACACTCAAAATATTATATCCTAAGCAGGGCTGTCTCAATAAGTTTGGGGCCTAAAGCCAAATTTTATAATGAGGCTCTATTATTTTTAGTTTACAAATATAAATTGAATAATTATAACTTATTTAGTGTAATCCTACAAATGAGGTCTGGAGAGACAGGATATATGTAGACATTATGAAGTAAGAATGCAAATAATGTAAATTTTCAATGAAAATTATGTAATATTGTTAAAATAATAAAACATGACTCAAAATTTTAAAAAATATGATGATATTAAAATAGTATTGCGATGAATTTGATAAGTTCATAAATAATATTAAAATAGTGTTGATTAGCTTTAGTGCTTTAAATTTGAATAAGACACCAAAAATAAATTTGATCTTTTTATAAACACACAACAATAGATTTTACATAATGTAGAATGTTTGAACATTTGAGAGACTTCACAATATTCAATAATGAAAGAATAAAAAATAGTGAAAGGAGAATAAAGAAAAGTAAGTATAAGAACACAATACTGTTGGTTCACATGATAATCGTTAGAATATAAATGAGCTAGACAATAAAATAGATAGCCACATGCGAAACTAGAAAGGATACTACAATTAACTAGCCACATAAGAATCTAGGAAAGATACTACAATCAACTAACAATATTCAATTTCTCAATTATATTTTCTATACAAAAAAAAAATTCTTCAAATTTATCAATACATGAAATTTTAGTTAATATATATACATCTTTGGGAGAAAATGGGGGCCCCAAGCGATTGCTTTAGTGGCCTTATGGTTGAGACGGCCCTGATCCTAAGTATTATTTTTTTCAACAAAAGATTTACAAACATGAAGGTCCCCTCTTCACATGAATTCACGTGTCAACAAGGTTAATTAATTAATTTAATCTTAATAAAA